GTACCTATAGGCCGGTTTTTTTTCGTCGAACGACGGTGGCAAGGCCATGTCGTCAAACCAGGCGTTTCCACAACACAAAACCTTGACTCCATCGACAAAGCCCCGAAATCTCCTTCACGAAAGTTGTTCGGGTCTCAAAAGCACCAATCGATGCCTTCTCCTTGCCGAATATGCCAATATGGAATTTACAGTGGAGCTTTTCCCTATACTGTCTTTACCGAGAACCAGCATGTTCACTGAGAAGTCCAAATCGTCCCTTTGTTCTGTCTCGAGTTGTAATGTCAAACTCTTGGCAGCATCCAAGCTGAAACTTTGTGTGTTCTGTCTCCTGCCAAGGAGTGCCAGCCTGTACAAGACTTGCCCGGCCACCAATTCCTCCGGTGAGAGACCCAGACTGTGGATGAGCCTCAAGAACTTCACCCTAATCTGTTGCAGCTTCTCCAGCTTCTTCTCCTCCTCCTCACTCAGATTCTCCTCATATTCCCTTCCTACATCTGAACGAATCAAAGTGTTGAAAAGAGATGGGAGGCTCGGATTTGAAGTGGCTTTTCCTCAACGGCATTAACCGGATTCTCATCCACAACTTCACGAGTACTCGTTTCAGTTACACCACCAACAAATTCGAGCTGGAAACTTTCTCCCTCACAACCTTTTCACCTTCGCTCCGCTCCCGAGTTCCACACCGCCACAACTGGCCACCTCCTCCACCAGCTCAACCACCACATCTCCATTTTCTTCAGCCCCACCAACAATGGCTACCCCAAGGGAAGTTACATCCACCTCAATATGGTTGACTACAAAATCTCCCTCGGGCACGGACTTCTCATTAGCTACATCACCAAGCTTCAATTCCTCCACCCTTTTCTTCCTCTTCTTTCATCTCAACTCCCTCGCTTGCCTCATCTATCTATCTGGGACAACTGAGACTCAACAGGGACATCAGAATGTTCCTCCAAAACCGCCTTATACGACTCGGGCTCAAACTCCTCGTCGCCGCTCACATAACCATCGTCCTCAGACAACCCACCCTTACCATCACTCCTACTTTTATCGACATTATTGCCACTCAATCCAACATTCGTACTAACAAAAATTAGAATTTTCGACATCATCTGAAGATTGAAGATAACCACCTGCGGGAGCATCGGATGCAGAACGCGGCGCGGCTTCCTTCGATTCCATTGAAGCTCGACAAATGGCGGAGTAATCAACGATTTGCAGACAAAAAGAGATTTTTATTGTAGAGGCTTCATGGATAAGGAGACGAGGACGAGGAAATTGGGGGATTCTGAAGGGTGTTTTGTGGGTTTTATGAGGCTTTCATTTTGAAACTTCTCAATTTTGGTGGGTTGATTAATGGCACCGGTCCCATCCCTGGGGTGCATGAGGCCTTGCCTTCGTCAAAGCCATTCGGTCTTTACTTCAACAGGAGTGGACGGTTCACCTCCGTCATGTACATCGCGAAGGCCGAAGCTAATTTTGTTGCTGATCATTTGGCGAGCCTAACGTCTACGGCTTCGATTGGTCTCCATGTTCTAGTCTCACTTCCCCCTACTTTGGGTGATTGGCTCGAACACGATGTGATAGGGGTCTCTTATCCCCGTCAAGTTATAATCTCGTCTTAGGCCTACAACCTCCTTCTTTGTAAAAAAAAAAAAATGTGAATAATCACTAAATATATTTTAAATTTTGAGGTCAAATTATATATTTGTTATATATTTGATTATTTTTATATGTATGTGTTTACTAGTGTAAACGAGTGGAGCTGAATTTGAATTATAAATCAACTCTTTAACAAGTTAGCAATCAAATTGTATCTTAACAATCTGAACTCAATAAGTAAACGAGCTTCACCAAGTTTGAGAGCTCCTATCGTTCATCAAATAAATCTAGACGAATTTAAGTCTTACCAAATCGATTTCGAGCAGCTGGCTTTGTTTAACAACTTTATATATGCACACATTATATTATTTTATATTTTGTTATCATTTAAGACCAGTTACAACTCACAATTATTTGTTTCCTTTATGTAAAATTCTTTTAATTATCTTTTATTTAATAACAAAGATTGCATATGTAAATAAAAAAAAAATTATACATTAATAAAAAAATCATTAAATTTACAAATTAAATAAAATCGACATCGCAAATAGAGTCCTTTACATAATTTAATTTTTGTTGGTAAAGCTATTAATTATAAATTTATTTATTTATTTATTTATTGTTTGTTTGTTTAGATTTGGCAAAGATACACTCCTCACCATTATGCAAAAGCCACAAAAGAGGTTAAAAACCTTGCCTTTTATCACACAATTATGTGTTTATATTTATAAAAGCGTTATTCATCTTCTGCTCATCTTTTTATAATTTCTTCTTCGTTCCCCTTCACTCCACCCCTTCATCTCTCTCTATTTCTCACTCAATCGGGCCGTAATCTGTATCGTAAATAAGAAATGAACACAAAATATTTATTCATTCGCTAAATCTCCTTGAATAAAATTCTTCGATTTTCAGTTTGAAAATCGAAGTTTGATTCTCTGTTTTTGTTTAATTTATTAGATTAGATTAGATTAGATTAGATTAGATCAGAAAACATGGTTGAAACGCGGCGGAGCTCGTCTTCATCGAAGCGCCCCCTCTCTTCGCCGTCGTCTTCTCTGCCCAATGGAAAGCGATCTAAGGTTAGGGTTTTGTGGTTTTTGTGTCTTTTTTTCTATTGTCGTATATTTGTTGGCGTGGGTTTTCGAATTTGGGATTATTGTTTGGCGCACATGCAGGCGGGCGATGCGTCTTCATCTTCTACGAACAATTCCCCGTCATCGGAAGAAGTTGTTGGCAGGTCGGCGGCCAAAGAATTGGATAGTGGATCGGCTGATCTGGCTAGCGGCGGTGAGAACCAGTCAGCTGATGTGGCGCCAGAGAAAACGCCCGAGGCGGTGGCAGCAGGTGATCATTTCTTTTTTCTTTATCATTTGCTTGGTATTTTATGTTACTTTAGGTTTATTTGTTTATTAACTTTTTCTGCTCGATGATGGCCGTGGATGCAGTTGATTCAGCTGTTGAAGGAGAGAAAGAAAAGCTGGGTGGGCAACGCACGAATCGAGGAAAGAAGCGACCCGTGAAATCTAATGCTGGGGTTGCGTGGGGAAAACTTCTTTCCCAGTCTTCACAGGTGGATATCTGGTCATCTGAGTTGTAAAAATTCAGTCTTGGTCGGGAATAAATTTTGAAGTAGGGGGGAAAAGCTGAGGTTAAACCACATTCACAGCTGTGCTGCTTGTAGTTAACTGTGATAGAAATCTATCTTCTTTGTCAGGGTTGTACTCCTTTATGCAATTGTAAAAATTCAAGCTTGTCCCAAATTAAAATTTGAAGTAGCGGGTAATATCGGCGATTTAATCACATTCACAGCTATTATGTGCTTAGTTATTCAGTAGAGAGGGTCTGCACCTTTACTTAATTGTAAAAATTCGTTCTTGTTTTGATATATAACTTGGAAACCTATGAGGAAAACCCGCGATACTATCTTATCACAAATTCACATGTCACAAGAAACATCTCTTTCCTGTCGTTATATTTGAAGCAAGTAGTCTTGTATCACTTCCGGAACCTGCCGTTATCATATTCAAGAGTGTTCTACTGGATGGTACAAGAGTGTTCCAGAACCTTCCAAATTTGTTAATTTTACATGGATTTGGATTTGTTTTGGGAAGTTCCCTTGATAGAGCTTATAATGTGTTAGATTAAAGCATGTATTCTCTGTTATATCTGCATATTAAGCGGAAAATAAGTTACTTTATACTCCAAGTATGTAGTAGTACTATGGGAAGTGTAGATATAAATCCATGTTCAGGTCCCTCAGATGTGGCTGGTTATCCTTGATCTAGTATCTGAGATCATATCATCGGTGTGTTTGAGGTAGAACTGGAGGATGGTCAGAATCGATTAGCAACCAGTTATCACTCTTTGTGGAAGCTGCTTGCTGTCAAAGTACTACGTGGAAGCTACTGGCTGTCAAACTTTGGCATTTTGATATTTGATAATGGGAAAGCATTTTTATCCTAGAGAGTATTTTCTTGGTGTATTCTCTTCGCCCATTTCCTTTTTTTTTTTGTGCTTCTTTTGGGGGTGGTGATGGGAGTTGGCTAGAGAGTGATGAGTTGTTTTAGTTTCATTTTGTGCTCTTAGGAGCTGGATTCTGTGCATGTGCTTTCTTTTGTGCTAGAATAATAAACAATTTCACTGATAAACAATGGCTAATAATTGTGGCTGCTATATTTTTCTCCAGAATCCGCATGTTGTCATGTGCCGGCCAACATTCACTGTTGGTCACGGCCGCCAATGTGATTTGTGGGTGAAAGACCCCACAATTAGTAAATCTTTGTGCAGTCTCAAGCGCATGGAGTCTGAGGTAAATTATGCACCGTTTCTAATCTTGATTCACATTTTGAATTTTTTTGCATTGTACATACGTTCAGTGTTTCTCACTGATTTTTTGCCTGATCATAGGGAGGACGTATGGTTACGTTGCTCGAGATCACTGGAGAAAAAGGATTCGTACAGGTGAATGGTAGGCTTTACTCCAAAGACAATAGCCTCCTCTTGAATGGAGGTGATGAGGTGGTTTTTAACGTGTCCGGTAAACATGCTTACGTATCCTTTTCGCCAGATATCTTTTTACCTAACAAAGTTTTTATCAAGAATTATCTCGCATACATGTGTTTTGTTATCATTTTGTATACGTCTCCTCCTATACAAGTGAATCCTTGACGTGCATTAGATTTTTCAACAACTCATCTATACCAGTGCATCCCTTGAGGATGTGCCCCCTTCAGTCAACATATTGGAAGCTCACGGCAGTCCCATAAAGGGACTGCATATTGAGGCAAAATCAGACCCGCCAGCAATTTCAGTTCCGTCTGGGCTAGCATCCTCGTCAAATCACACTGATGAACTATCTCCTGTTCCTCCTTCATCACAGGACGGTGATGATCTGGAAAATGGTTCTGAATTACCATCTTTGCCCTCAGCCTGTGAACTGTCGGACAATTGCGTGGACGCTGAAATGAAGGATGTTTCTGACCATAAAGCAGGCATTTCACCTCCCAATGGCGCCGATGAGGACTTGAATGTGGATGCCGATAGTGGGAAGATTTCCGATAAGAACAATAACTTCAGACCACTTATGCAGCAGCTTCTAGCTAATTCGGCTGCTCCTCCTTTAGATATAAGTAATAGTGGGAAGATTTTGGCTGGGAACAATAACGTCAGACCACTTATGCAGCAGCTTCTAGCTAGTTCGGCTGCTCCTGCTTTGGATATAAGTGGCGGCGTATCAAGAATTCTCGACGAGAATAAGTCAGGCGGGAATAAGCGGAAGGATCCCGAACCTGCCCTTTCCATTTCATCAAGACGTCAAGCATACAAAGATGCTTTACAACAAGGGCTGGTACATAGCGAAAATATTGAAGTGTCCTTTGAGAATTTTCCGTACTATCTAAGGTAAGCATGTTGTATGAAGCCTTACTACTATCTTCATTTCCTTCAAGCTGCGTGTGCCCATATGGTTATATAAAAACTAATATTTGTTCGAAGTTGTCAGTCTAAGGTTGTTTTTAGACGAATCTGGTGTGTACTCATGATTAGATGTGAATTTATCAATGTCTGTCACACATAATGGTCTTGCTTCCCTGTTTGCGCGACATGGGTATCTTTTTATATTCTCTGATTTTTATCATTGAAGCTGGTAACTTGTTGTATTTTAGCTATTATTATTGTTATTATCTGCTTCTTACATGTTTGGTAGAGTCGATTTTCTACTTCATATTCCATTCTTTCTGTCTTATTTTAACATGCTTTTATGTTTCCTGACAGTGAGACCACAAAAAATGTCCTTATTGCGTCAACATATATACATTTGAAATGCAATAAATTTGCAAAGTTCACTGCGGATCTCCCGACAGTTTGCCCTAGAATCTTGCTGTCAGGTCCTGCAGGTAATGTTGCTCCACGTGACTGCATTTATATGATAATTATCAAATTTTTCTACTTTTCATTCCTGACCTCAATCATTTATCTCATTAGGTTCAGAAATATACCAGGAAACATTGGCCAAGGCGCTTGCTAAACATTTTGGTGCGGCACTTCTTATTGTCGATACTATTTTGTTACCTGGTGTAAGATTCTGCTTTCTCTAATTGGACATGTTCATATTGTTCATTCACCATTGTCCCTATTTATATATTTCAGTTTTACTAATCTATGACTAAAAAATTCATTTAGGGACCAACGCTGAAAGAAACTGATTTACCCAAAGAAAGTTCAAAGCCTGAGAGAACAAGTGTTTTCTCTAAAAGAGCCACTGCTGCTCTAAACCTTAAGAAACCAGCCTCCAGTGTGGAGGCTGATATAACCGGGGGTTCTACTATTAGCTCCCATGCTCTACCTAAACAGGAAGCATCTACTGCTACATCAAAAGGCTATACGTTTAAGAAAGGTATGATTCTCGAATTTTTTATCCTCCATCTTTTACATATTCGGTTGAGTAATCATTCTATAAGTGAATGCTTTCTTATTCCTTGGCAGGCGATAGAGTGAAGTATGTGGGGTCATTGCAATCAGGATTTCCTCATGCTCATTCTACAATTAGGTATTATGCTGCAAATTTCATATATTGCAAAATGTTGAAGATTTGAAGTGCTTGTCGTATATATGTGGGAGTCACACGTCTCTTGTGCAGGGGTCCAACCTATGGTTACAGAGGCAAGGTGGTACTTGCGTTTGAGGAAAATGGCTCTTCAAAGATAGGAGTTAGATTTGATAGAACAATTCCGGAAGGCAATGATCTTGGAGGCCTCTGTGAAGAAGATCATGGTTTTTTCTGTGCAGGTTATTGTGTGTCAGTTTATGTATGTATCGGAGTGCAATGATTCTTGATATTGGTGTTGATTGTTTCCTTTCTGGTTCAGCCGACTTACTTCGTCTTGAAAGCTCTAGTGCGGAAGATGCTGAAAAACTCGCTATTAATGAACTATTCGAGGTGAATTTTATTTCATGTTCATTAATAAGAATGAACAAGTGATAAAGATTTCTGTTCTGTTATGTGCCATGAGTTTGTGGACAAATGTTTACGAATATGTGCTATATCGCAGGTTGCTTCCACAGAATGTAAAAATAGTCCATTGATCTTGTACTTGAAAGATATAGAGAAGTCGATGGCTGGAAATGCAGAGGCATATGTGGCGTTAAAAGTTAAGCTTGAAAGCATTCCAGAAAATGTTGTGGTCATAGCCTCACATTCTCAGACAGACAGCCGAAAGGAGAAAGTACATTTCTATGATGTTTATACTTTTTGAGCTGCCTAAGGTTTGCACATGAGTGATTCCTTTTATAATGAACTCTATTATCTATATATTGGTCTCAGTCTCATCCTGGTGGACTACTTTTCACAAAATTTGGAAGCAACCAAACAGCATTGCTCGATCTTGCCTTTCCGGTATGCTTATTGAAGTAAAGTTATAAATTTTAACCTTACTCATTTGTTGTCAACGGGCTATAACTAAATTGGACTTTATCATTTGATTGTCGGTTGACTTTCTCTAGCAATTGTTTTACCCCTCTGATCTTACATTGGAGTAATTTTTTAAAAGTTTACATTTAATGATCTCTCGCCTCTTATTTTTTCTGACCCTTGTGCTAACTTTTGTGTCCTTATGTATATGTCTATCTTTATTTAGGATAATTTTAGCAGATTGCACGATAAAGGTAAAGACACTCCAAAAATATTGAAGCAGCTCAGCCGCCTTTTCCCGAACAAAGTGACCATTCAGATACCCCAGGTAATCAAATACTGGTTTATATGTGGTGCTTTTATACCATCCAGTTTAGAACTAATGTGATTCTTGTTATAAACATGACAGGATGAAACAGTACTAGTGGACTGGAAACAACAGTTGGATCGCGATATTGAAACAATGAAATCACTATCGAACATTGGCAGCATTCGCTTGGTGTGTTACCACTATTCACCGTTTATTCATTATCCACCAATTCTGTTTTGATTGAAATTGAGTAGGAGCTAGCAGTTTCTGGTTGATGCATGAAGCTTAAGTTTAACTATATTTACCATTCAAATGTTTTGAGAGAACTCTTGCTTGCATTTCATTTATGAAACTTCATATGATCAAAATATTCTTTCCTTGCTGCTGTTATTATTATTTTGTATTATCTAGTCTGTGTTATTATTGTTTAGCATGATTTTGTTCACTGGTGACTTAAGATTTATGGACCTCAAGGTTTTCTAATTGGTTATTTACTCAAAGAGATGATTATAATATAAATTTTATATAGATAGTTGTAATGAGGATTGTTTGTAAAGATAAATTGAAACATAATGTTGTAGAACTGCTATACTCTGGTTTTGGCATCTAACCTTGGATATGCTGTATTTTCGTTAATCTCAATGTAACTCCTTATGTTTTCTTCACATCAACTTCAGGTTCTGAAGAAGATTGACATTGATTGCCCTGATCTGGAAACTTTATCCATTAAAGACCTATCTTTGACTAATGAAAGTCGGTTAATTTCGTTCAACTTAAAAATCCTCAATCAGTTGTTTAGTGCTTCCAGATATTTCTAATTGCTTGTTCTGTGGGTGATAGGCGCTGAAAAAATAATTGGCTGGGCTTTGAGCCATCACTTTATGCAATGCTCTGAAGCCACACTCAAGGAATCAAAACTTGTCATTTCAAGTGAGAGGTATAAAAGCGAGCCATTTTTATCAGCCATGACACTAGAAGGATAAGAAAAATACTTGGGTCCTTACTTTTTTTTTTTTTGGCTTTGTGTTACAGTATTAGCCATGGGCTAAACATTCTACAAGCAATTCAAAATGAAAATAAGAGCGTGAAGAAGTCTCTTAAGGTAAAGAATGTATCTTAAATTATGTTTGTTCGATGCTTTCCCATAGTATATTCACATAACATGGTACAGAAGAAGATTGACATCTTCGAGTTGTATAGGATGTGGTTACTGAAAATGAATTTGAGAAAAAGCTGCTTGCTGAGGTTATCCCTCCAGGCGATATTGGAGTAACTTTCGATGACATTGGAGCATTGGAAAATGTGAAGGAAACTTTAAAGGAGTTGGTGATGCTACCTCTGCAAAGGCCAGAATTGTTCACTAAAGGGCAACTTACAAAGGTAATTAAATTATTGCGTTAGAGAAAATTAGATGTTTAGAGCGTGCTTGGATAGTATATCCACTCAGAACGAGTTTTTTGTTTAACCATGGTTAATTTTGAAAAAAAAAATGTGGTACGGCTTGTTGTTAGGGGAATTTTAAGTTTATATTAAAATAATATGTAAAATAAAATAATTAAAGTTGATTCGATGTAAAAGTAGGAGAGATGATGTGAAGTGATAGATTAGTTAAAATTATTTGGGTGGATGAATAGTGAATTAATGTTGATGCGATGTGTAAGAAAGATTGATTAATATTGTTAATATTGAGGATAGTGGGTTGGGTTAAAGTTGAGTTAGATTTTGAGTATGAATAGAGTTATTTTATATACAAACACAACCTTAGGAAAGCTCGATCTATTGTGAATCATCTTTTTTTTTTTTCTTTCTTTTCCCTTTTCTTTTGGTGACTCGTTTATGATATTTTTGGCAGCCTTGTAAAGGGATATTGCTTTTCGGGCCTCCTGGTACTGGCAAAACTATGCTTGCAAAGGCTGTTGCAACTGACGCGGGTGCAAACTTTATCAACATATCCATGTCAAGCATCACTTCAAAAGTATACTTCTTGTTACCCCTCAAACTCGTTATTCTCGCTTCTCTATATTTCTGTTTTTCCCAAGGGTTAATTCTTGATTGTTCGGTTATCAGTGGTTTGGCGAAGGAGAAAAATATGTGAAAGCAGTCTTCTCCCTGGCTAGCAAAATAGCTCCTAGTGTCGTTTTTGTTGATGAGGTTTGTATAGCGTTAAAAAACTTCACCTCTCTCTCTCTCTATATATATATATATATATATATATATACCTTTTATTTATATTTCCTACGTTTTTTTTCTTTCTCTCGGTCACTTTTCCTTACATCTCGGTTGCCATAGGTCGACAGTATGTTAGGGAGACGTGAAAACCCGGGAGAACATGAGGCAATGCGCAAAATGAAGAATGAATTTATGGTGAATTGGGATGGTTTACGTACAAAGGATAAGGAACGGGTTTTGGTTCTTGCAGCCACAAACAGGCCTTTTGATCTTGACGAGGCTGTAATCAGAAGGCTGCCGAGGAGGTTTATTAATTGCAACTTGACCCTTATTCTCGATACAATTAAAAACTTACATTTATATATTTATCTATTGCAAATAAAGACACCACCTTTTCACCCCCAACTTTGTATGTGTAAACTATTAGAGGATTTTTTGTCTACTTTACTGTCTTTCTTCCTTTTTCTTAATATCGGAAACTCTAACCAAAATGTAATTATCTTGGAGAACAAAATGTCTATTACTCTATTATGCTTAATATCGTTAATTTGTTCCGTCTTATTCTTGCCCTATTTGGTGCACAGGCTGATGGTCAACTTACCAGATGCTCAAAATAGGGTTAAAATTTTGAAGGTGATATTGGCCAAGGAAGAATTATCTCCGAATATTGACCTTGAAGCCGTCGCTAACATGACAGAAGGGTATTCAGGAAGTGATCTCAAGGTTTATTCATTTCATATTTCTTTTCTTTTTTTCTCCCTTTTCTTTTACTTCCCTATTGCTTCTGTTGAGATGGTTAACTAAAACTCGATTGCTCTCATTTCGAAAAACTTTCTATTTCCAGAACCTATGTGTCACGGCTGCACATTGCCCTATAAGAGAAATTTTGGAGAAGGAAAAGAAGGTTTGTGTTATTACTTATCATCTTTATCGGGAGCTACCATTTTTTTTTAATATTTTATTTAATTTTCGTGTCTGTGTTTATGCTAAATGTAGCTTTGTTGTTAAAAAGCTAATCTAATGAAACAAAGTTGTGAAATGTTAGGAGAAAGCCTCGGCATTAGCAGAGAATCGACCGTTGCCTGCATTGCATAGCAGTGCAGACGTTCGGCCCTTGAGTTTGGATGACTTCAAATATGCACATGAACAGGTATCAACACTTGTGTTTTGTCGATGAATAGGGTTTGCTTGGATACAAGTTCTTGATTGGATATTTTGGTTTTGATTATTTTTTGGTTAATTAAAGTAAATTTTTTGTTGAGTTAGGTTTAAGTGAGATTTTGGGTTTGTATTAAAATAAATGTTAAAATAAAATGATTAAACTTTATTTGATGTAAAAGTAGGAGAGAACTGATTAGAAGTGATGAGTAGTTCAAATTATGCGAGTGAATGAATAGTGATTTTTCACAAAATTACTTCGAAATTTTTTATTTAAACATAAAAAAAATGAAAAATTAGCACCTCCGAGCATTGTAGCCGACAGGCATCTATAGGATAAGCCTGCGCGCCATGTCGTGAGAATTAAATTATTGTTATCATCATTATTATTATTTTTTTCCTGTAAAACACATTAAAAGCTATGCTTGTCGAAAAAAATGTTATTCAGGTTTGCGCAAGCGTCTCGTCTGAGTCGCAAAACATGAACGAGCTTCTCCAGTGGAATGAACTCTATGGGGAAGGGGGTTCTCGGAAGAAGGCATCACTGAGCTACTTTATGTAGAGAGAGAATGAGAGAACAAAAATACCCAGACCTGTATAGAGTTTGGTGTTTTTTTATTTATTTTTTTTAATATATTTTCTTTCTTCTTCTTTATTATTAAGATGGCTTTGGGACCTTTGATCCTGGAAATAATCCTGATTTTTCAGGTGTAAACTTTAATTGAAGACCTTTTTTTCTTGACATGCAATATGTGTCATAAATTAATTAAGTTTACGAGTATTTTGTTGTCACCAGATTAAAAATATATATATATATATATTTATTAAGCTCATCTTGACTAATAGTATTAACTTTTTATTTATTTATTTATTTATTTATTTTTATTTCTCTCATTTGTGTGTTCATATTTTGAGTTATGCATTTTGAGTAACTTACTCTTTGAGTTTCTTTATTCTACTACTGTAAAATATATGTTAAAATTGTAATTTCTAATATTAATTTTCCAATTCCTTAAAATGATTCGTACAAACAGGCCTATATAATTTAATTATTGTAAATAGCAATATTTAGTATAAAATTGATGGGGCGCTTTATTTCATTTTTAATGACTCGTGGCAAAACAAGTATGGGATAATTGATTTTATTTTTTGGGTCAATGTGAACGAACGTTCGGATTGAAATTTAAATACAAAAAATATATTAGGTAAGTAGGTATTTTCATAATTTCATGTATATTTAATTGACATTTTTATGTTCGGACTGAAATTTAATTAAAAATTATCTAGGTGACATTTTTAAGTAATAATTTTTTTTTAAAAAAATTTTAAAAATATTGTTATTTAGAAAAATGAAGGACCCGGTTCGGTCAATCGGGTCATTAACCCGGCACAAGTATAGATCCATGCCGGGTCAGGGTCAGTGTTTTGGAGCGCGGTGGGCTGGGCCTCGCCGTGACCCGGCCCGGGTTTTGGCCATGTGTGTGGGCGCATACTATTCTTCTATTCATGCACTGTTTTTCTTTTTAGTTTTGTTTTCCCGCAAAGATTGATAATAGTCTTCGCTTCCTCATCGTCAATTCTACACATTCCGACCAAATTCCGTCTGCGATGGAGATAATGACTCATACTTCAACCTTCCTCCTCCCCAATCCTCCCCTCGACAAAGCCGCCGCCGCCGCCGCGTTGACGTACGTGCTCGTCGTCCTCAACCGGCGCCTCCCACGGTTCACTCCTCTCCTCTGGAAGCACGGTAATTACCTTTTCTTTATTTATGCCGATTGGGCT